CAAAACCATTATACCCGGATTTCCCATTTTCAATGGGTTCAGGGTATAAAAAGATGGAGCAAAATAGCATTTTAACTTAAGTATTCAAAGTTTCTATATTTCCTATCAAGATATTTCGAAATAAGATAGATTTCTTTCTTCAAACAGATTATGCTACTGATTTCGACCTGTTGTGCAGCATGTCAGAGCTTCAGTAGTTTGCAGCACCTTTTTTTTCTGTTCAATATTTTCTTTGTTCAATATTTTCTATATTAACATATGATTTCCAGAAATATTTTGCAAAAATCGGCGAAGGCATCTGAGTTTGTGTTGAAGAAAATTCTAAATATTTCCATTTCTTAGTAAAATTGTTCGTTCCAAGAATCGAATGTACCATTTTGCTACCTAATTTGAGCTTAAATTTAGAAAATATTTCAGTGCATCTACATTAAAATTAATCAAAGAGTCTGACAACGGGCCGGGACCAGCTCAATCAGCGTTGATTCAATTGCCCCCCATTACGCTTACGCCACATAGGCCACGCTCTAGAAAGCTGTTGGCGTGCGGCATTTAAGCCAAGGCTAAACATATGGTCCCTTTTATATATACATACATATATATATATACTTACATATATACACATTTGCACAAATGTAGGCTTGTGTATCGCTTTTTAGAGCATATTCATCATCTAATCAATCAGCATCAAAATGAAAATCAAACGCTTCACAGCTAGAAAATTGAACAGAATTTCTTGTGGTTCTTGCGGGCGCAGCAGTTGCGTTTATTTTCTTTTTCATTTCCTATTTATTTTATATTACTTTATTTTCTTCTTTCGGTGTGTGGGTGGCTTCAAAGTGTTTACACGCCGTTTAATTTGCCTGTCTGCCTTTATTTGTTATGCAATTAATTTTATTACAAACATACGCACACACACACACTGAAACAGAGAGATAGGAAAGACAGAGACGGGGGAGGGGGGGAGGGGGGGGGGAGTGATGGATAACCTGATAGGACTCGCAGATACAAATCATATAAAAGTTTATGTGAATGCGGCAGCAGGCTAAAACTGTCTGCCTTTCAATTTGACCAACTCGAGCGTGTCAACCCAGCCAACTGGGCCTGTGTGTGTGGCATCTTGGCATCTTACATTTGATTACAAACATACACACGCACACGCACATGATAAGATTGTTATATAAGCCTCTCCCCAGTCGCCCAGCTGAGGAAATTGCCATAAAATTCTGTGACCTTTAAGTTTGATGTCAGCCTTCAACTGTATTTTTTTGTTTTTTTGTTTTTTGTTCAATAAAAGTTTTAACTTACTAACTAGCTGTTGTTGTTGGTCCATGCGTCAGGCACATGTTAGTTATGTCCATAACATTCACATTGATTAGCTCAACAACCTTACGGCCCCAATTAGAAGTTATAAAAACATTAGCAACAAAATAAACTATAATCACGAGTTAATGGCATACTGAACTTGCTTATAGCGGATAATCACAACAGTTGCTTTACTGTATGTCTTAAATAAATAAATAAATTTAGAGCTATTCCTTATTGTGAAGTCATACTTGGAGTAATCACTCAATGAGTTGACCATTTCGTAATAATTAACTATTGACAGCAGGACACTATCCGATATTCCATAGCAATTAATAGATACAAGGTCTATTAAAAAATCATTGGAACGTTAATATAATAAAGTTAATATAATAAATATTCAATAATATCAACATGGGAACGGCGTGAGAATGCTGCAGGTGCTTGTTAAGGTAATCCAATTAGCGCAAAACAAAAGGTTAGTTCAAACTGATAAAAAGATTATTTAGTAATAATGTAAAGCAAAGTTTCAGATTTGGCTCTCTCTCTCTCTCTTTCCTTCTTTCATTGTATTCATCTTTAAGTTTTTCTCTCTATGACTTCTTTGTATTAGTTTCCTGTAATATTTTGCTCATATTTATTATTAAATAATGTCGGCAATAAAACCGGAACATCTACTGTGTACCTTCACTGCATGAGCTGAGTGAATCGAAAAGAAAGATTTCGCTCAGCAAAATATTGACTGGGAAAGTGTTTGAGTTGTTGTTATTGTGTGCTGTTTGTGTTTGTCTGGAGGGTCACAAGCAAACAGAGGCTGGCACTAAGAGTGCGAGATATTCAATCAATGAACAAACAAGTTAAACATATTTTAATCATGAGGCTTAAAGTAAGCATTTATCATCTAAAATTCGACGAGACGAGCAACAAGAAACGAGAATTGAGCACAAGGACAGGGACTAGGATGCGAATGCGAATGCGAATGTGAAGGCGAAGACGAAGATACAGACGAGGCCAAAGCCACTGGCGAGACGAGGTGAAAGTGTCAATAAATGAAATCCTAAAGAAATTGCTTGTCTGCCATCTGAGATTGTGGCTGAGTTACATTGTGTGTGTGTGTGTGTGTGTGTGTGTGTTTGTGTTTGTGTGTGTGCTAAAGAGCTTAAAAAAAGCATAAGCACAAGGCTGCGAATCGGCATGCAGTCGCAGAGGCAGCCGCAGCCGCAGCCACAGCCGTCGCCGCCGATTGAATGTCAAAAAGCGTTTAGACATAATTGTTGTCATCTTAAGTATTTCTATTTTCTAGCTCACTCCAGAGAAGAAGGAGACGAAGATGAGAACTAAAAACAAGCCCATCTAAGATATTCCAGGCGGAAAGATAATTGCACGCAATTCCATTATTAAGAATACAATGAGAAACCTATAACTAAAACCAATATGCTAAAAGGAATAAAAAGCAGTAGAACTGAAGATAATTCTAATCTATTTTAGTATGAAATTTATAGATCAGTGTCTTAGCGGGAGGGGTTTGGGGAAGTGTGGGGTATGTCACAAGGAAATCGGAAATTAGAATATTCTGATTAATCAAATTATGAAATTATGTATATTCGGCAATTCAGTAAGAATCACCCCCACCCTCAAAAACCGCGCTATGCCGCTTGTTTGGGCCTTGATTGTTGATTCTTATGTACGGATTATAGCTATGAGACGGTAAAGGGAGAGAACTAACTCGGAAGCAGGTTATTTGTAAATATCTCCAATTATATTCCTGCCATACTAGAGTTTCTCGACTCACCGACAGTCAATATACATACAGAATATTTTTTTTTTCTTTTATACAACTTGTGATGCTTTTCACTGCTCACAACGTGTTTACAATTCGATAAAACTATTTTAAGCCCACTTTTCGTACAGGGTATGCAAACGAGAGGAGCATGAAGTGGGCGAAGCTAACAATGAAATTGCGCATATCGATTTCTATTGCCGACCGACAAAACGGAAACGCCAGAGTACTTTTTTCTCCACTGTGGCTGCTGTTGCTGTTGCTGTTGTTGCTGGTGTTGCTGGTGTCTCTGCTTTAGGCCATGGCTTTGCATCAATGACGACCATATTAAATCATGTTGGCTCAAGCGGCAATGGGCGTGGGTGGCGCGTAGTGGCAGCTGCTGCCGAAGCTCATGCAAAAACTTTCAATGGCGTTAGCTGTTGTTGCTATGATTATTACTTGTACGGGCTGTACCCTCACTCAGTGCCACTTCAGTCTGTGAGTGTGTGTGTGTGTGTGTGTGTGTATTAGTGCTGCGTGCATGGGTGTGTATACATGTTTAAGTGCTACTGAGGCAGCCGCAATAAAATAAGCAAAGTTCGCAGCTTGAGTCGCGTAAAAAAGCAGCAAAACAAGCTGCGATTTGAAACATATTCATTTTGCAACGACTTCTAATACCCTATCAAGCTTATACAATATATATGCAGTAATTGCTAGCATGAAGAGAATTTACTGAAAATTAAATCTATTATATATTTCATATATCTGCAATATAGGAACATATTGCTTGTAGTTCTTCAAAGGCTACTGATTTCAATCCCTCGAGAATTTGGTATTCTGATCAAAATTAAACACTCAATAATTATATACCATAGCAGTAGCAGCTGCAGCCAGCCAAGAATGCTTAGCCATCATCTTTTTAATTCCGTTTGGGCCTCATTAATAGACCTTATGTACCTTGTAGTCCATGGCATTTTATTGTAGCACCTAATACTCTACTTTTTGCCACCTAGCTCGCACGTATAGCCTTGACTGCCTACTGTCACCTCTCCAATACTCGTTCAAGATTTACGTCCTTCGCGCTGCTGACAAAATTTTAAATTGTGTCTGTGAGTTTGCATTACAGCTCTATTGCTGTGTGTGTGTGTCTGTGTAAAGAAATCAAATGCACGCTTAGGCGCGCACATTATACGATGCCCTGCCACGCCCATGGCGGACATGCCTCCTGTTTTGTCAGACGTAAAGCAGCACCAAAACAATTGCCTACTTCAAGGCGTAGTGTTTTTTGTTTTTACCGTTGTTGTTTTTGCTGTTGCCTGTTTATTATTATCATTTTTAGGAGCAAAAGAAAGGAAAAACTTATTTTTATTGTTTACGTGTGCGTCGATTGCGAAAGTATGGAAGCCTAGCTGGTAAATTCAGCAGCGTAGCACTAGCATTTGCTGTCGAACGTACAAATTTATGATGGGAGAAGAATTATTGTTATCGAAGAATTATTATTGGATACGGCCGATCATCAATTAACTTGAACATGCACTATTATCTGAATTCAGCGCAAACTACTCAACAACTATAGTTCTTAGAGATGTGTGACTTTATATAGCTGCTATCAAATAATACTCAATTCGCGATCAATTCGGATGTATTGTGATGTATTAATCAAATCAAATTATGAAGTAAAATAATAATAAGTGACTTATTAGCTACGTATATCAAATATGCCGGACAATCATCATCAGCTTAAATGGCCTTTGCGGTTTAGGCATTACGACCACGTTTGCCTCAGTGTGGGCAAGCCAAAGCTTTGAGCTGCATAAAGTTTTACTTTTGACAGCTTGCAGTTTGCTTAATTTATTGCCAACAAATATTGCTTGCTTTGACCACAGCTCTGGCAGCTTCAGCTCAATTTAAGTTTGTTTACTCACGCTGCGTGCTCCACTCTGGCTCGCAGTTCTGCCAGGGCAGTTGGGTGCGAAACGAGGCGAACATGTAGAATATGGTCCAGGCGATGATCAAATTGTAGTACAGCATGACAATGGCCGACACGATGACCATGCCAGTGCCCAGTCCACGGAACAGCGGGCAGAAGCGGCGATAGATGGCCACCGGACCCAGAGCAGCGTATTGGCCAAACGACAGCTCCATGAACATGAGTGGCAGACCCGCTATGATGAGCATTATTGTAAAGGGTATTAAAAACGCACCTGCAAGCGAAATTGGATTAGCACTGGACATTGTAGCAACGACAAATATGCGGAGCACCCACCGCCGCCATTGTTGTAGCACAGATAGGGAAAGCGCCAGACATTGCCAAGGCCTACGGAGTAGCCCAGCAGCGACAGCAGAAAGTCAAAGCGTCCCGTCCAGTTGCCGCGTTCCGGATCGCCCGTCTCAACGGCCACCGCGTCAGCGTCCAAGGTGACCAGCGCCGTGCCGGAGGCGCAGCCAGCAATGCTTATGGCAGTGGGCGTGGTGGTCAACTGAGGCGCTGCCACATGCTTGACCGGCGGCGTGGCTATCATTGCATTGGCATTTCCAGGACACACCACACTGGCACCGCCAGCTGCTGCTGCACCCGCTCCAGCTCCTCCAACGACTCCTGCTGCTGTTGTTGTTGCTGTTGCCGCCGGAGCTTTGCTGCTGGGAGGCAATTTGCTTGGATTGCCTCGCTCCACATTGAATTCACAGCTCGTGAAACGATCTTCATTTTGCTGCAAAGAATTCAATGTTGGTCCCGTTAGTCAACCTTCTATAACTGCGACTTGACAAACAAATACTATATAATTACCTAAATACAATACTACTATACCTTATTCTAATATCGTTCTTTGAAAAACAGTATTGTATCTTGTATCTTGAATCTTGAATCTTGTATCTTGTATCTTGTATCTTGTATCATGTATCTTGTATCTTGTATCTTGTATCTTGTATCTTGTATCTTGTATCTTGTATCT